CCCAGCTGGTTCCGGTCAGGTGCCGAGGTGCGGAGACAGATGACGACCTTGGCTTCTAGATAAGAATGAAAACAACACATTCCACAATTCTACTCCTTTCTATTCCCCCTTTCCAACTACTACACTAATGAAACAGCATAATGAAATAAGAGAGAGTGTGGCAGGCCAAAGATCCTAAAAGGGATATAACTGAAGGCCTGACACTAATTGTGCAACAAATGCTGCTTCACAATCATGTGACCGCAGCCTGGATCTGTACAACTTTCTTGATAATTGCACAATATTGCATGCTGATGCACTCACATGCAGACTTCTCAACTTCAGCCAAACCTCATTTTCAGTCTTCAAGTCAGTTACATTCAAAAATTATTCATCTTCTAAACTCAAGATGATATAGGCCATTGCTTTATCATGCTGCCTCTGAGCTGCCAATGGCCCTGGGTGGATTAATAACAATATCCCAGAGCTCCTTAGCCTTCAGGAAACACTCCATCTTTGCAGCCCAAATTATATAGTTCTTCTGTCTCAAACGAGACAGAAAGCTCTCCTTAAATTCAATAGCCATCCTGCAAACCTTCTCTGTCTGGTTTCTCACATAGGCTTAATTACAGTTCAGTGTCTCTGTGTGCTTTGGTGTGTTCTGGGCCTGTCAGAGTTTTTTGCAGCAATCACATCCAGAAAGCACACAGAGGTAACTGATTCAGCAGGATTCATTAACTTCTCTTTATATATAATATAACACATGAAGTAAATCAGAGGTGGGTTCCTCCCTAAATGGTCTGGTACTCCAGAAGAGGTAGTGAAAATCTGGTGTACCAGATAGCACTGGTAGTAAAAATGATGACTTGGTCACGCCTCTGAACCAGTTCTCCTGTCAGAAACTTCATCAGAAGCTTTTTTTAAAAGAAGTCCCCCCCCCCCCCTTGCTGGTTCAGGCAAGGGAGGAAAAGCTTTAAAAAGTAAGAGAGAAAGAGGGAGAGAGGGATGGAGGAAGGAAGGGAATGGAGAAAGAAAGATAAAGAAAGAAGGAAGGAAGGAAACTCACTTTCCTGCCGGGAGATTCAGCAAAGGAGAAAAACAAATGTGGTCACTTTAAATTGGAACTGAGCATGCTTGGCTGTGGAATTCTGGGAGTTGGTCCACAAGTCTTAAAGCTGCAAACTTTAGAGTCCTGCTTTAAATTGAAAAACTGCTCAGGTTTGCAAAGTGACATTCAGCAGTTATTTTTTTGGGGGGGTGCTTCCCACAGAGGGAAAGGAGAATGAAAGGAAGGAAGGAGAGAAAGAAAGAAAAACAGCACAGCAATTTAGGGCTAGAAGTCTACTCAGAGGTCATCTAGTCCAACCTCCTGCTGCAGCAGGAAACCTTACATTGCCTGGATTATTTTGGTGCCTCTAACAGATAGGAAAATTGCCAGAAAGGAGAAGGAGTTTACTAGCACAAGACTGCCATGCAGAGGAAGGCAGAAGTAGTCCTTGACTTATGACTACAATTGAGCCTAAAATTTTGGTTGCTAAGCAAGAGCATTGTTAAGTGAGCTTCACCACATTTTACCTAATCCATGATATCTCCTGGTGAGTGACATCAAATTGACCATGCCCACCCAGTCTCATGACCACAAAGCCATGCCCACAAAATAGGCCACACCCACAGAATAGGTAGTAAAAAGTTTTGAAACCCATAATTTAAAAAGAGATTGGATTTCCAATTTGTTGTCACATTTACATTCATATCCCAAAGCAATTGGTGAGACTCCAAACATTCAGAGATAAAGCACCCCATTTTGCAAAGTAGCATCCAAATCAAGTATTTTGATCTATATATATATTTTAGAACAATCAGACTGGGTCATTTCTTCTTTTCCAAACTGTTTCTGATCAACCTGACTTAATCAGTAATATTATCAAGTTTTACACTAAATAGGATATAGTTTCTTTCCTGAGTCAAATCATTTTTAATCAACAGCAATTTTCTATTGTTATTGGTAAAACAGCAGAAAGCATATTTTTATTGTTAATCACTTATATGTGGTAGCCTTAGATGAAATATGGAAATTAGATGCAGCAGTGGTTCTCAATCTGTGGTCCGTGGAACCTTGGGGAAACTACAATGTCATCACAGGGACTGTGAAAGCTTGGAGAAAAGTTATGATTTAAATATTTAGTTAAATCTTGGTGGTCCTTGGCCATGGTCTATGGTATTTAAAAGGTATTTAAAGTGAGTCTGTGGTGAAGTAAAGGTTGAGAACCATTGGGCTACAGTATATATGCGAAGGCACACAATTGTTTACCAACTGGTCTACATTTAGTCCATCTCATGAAATTAAGACCATATTTCTTCAAGGAATGCATCTTCTGGAAACTGCAGCAAGTTAAGAAAGATTCTTAGTGGTTCTTTTTCCCCACGTGGTGCCCTCTGATTATACTAAGACTTTGAACCCCTTGGAGTTCAGCCACTATATTGTATGTATTTGCTAAGTAAAGATTATGGTAGGTATAACTTAGATGGAAGGCAACACACTGAAGAAAGCTCACTTGAGAATTGTATTAAATGGCATAACATCCTTTACATGAAATAGGGTGATATTTTATCTACCTACTGAGCAAAAATAGCAATGTTAAATTGTTTTATGTCATAAAATGGATGCTTTTAGCAAGTCATAGCCAATTTACTTAGTGAAACATTTAAAAAATGCTAGGTACACCATAGTAATCTTAATTGCAAGATATTGATTCTTAGAGTGTGAACACACTTATTTTTGAAGTTTATATTTAAGATACTGCAGCAACTATAATATTTTATGCTTATTTCCTTAATAATATTTTCCTTTGCATCATAGGACTTCTGACTAGTGACCAATAAAAAAATTGCGAATGCATGCAAAGACAAATTCTCATGACAAATTTGAGAAATACACTTCTTTATCAAATGATGATGTACATCCTTATTGCCCACAATATATGACTAATTTTTTTCATATAATTTGTATAAATACATTGATAAATCTTACACATAAACAATGATCATTAAAGCATAAAGAATAGAAACATTAAAAAATATTTTTCAGAAAATAATACATTCCTTCTACTAACTAATTATTACTAACTAAGTTATACAGTGCTTAATTTTCAACTGAACATTTTTACATTTAAAAAGCTGAGTACTATTGGTGTTATTAGTTGAAATGGCTTCCCATTAAATGATTATTAAAAACTAAAACTAACAATAGCTTCATACTCATCTGAAAATATGACAGAGTCACCTTGTGAAGCCATATGTTTGACACTGAAATAATGAAATCTCACAATCATAGCATATATGTGAATAGGATAGGGGGTCCAGTGTTCCTGTTAACAGGAGAAGATGAAGATGACCATTATGACCAAAGTTCTCCTGCATACATAATGCAGTAACTTGGGGCAGTCATAAATATAATACAGTACTCTCATGAAAGGAGCATGGCCTACATTTTGTGAAATGTAACTACATGCTATAACAACAAATAAGTAGTTGAGAGTACTAGAGTAAGCCTAATTCCCTGAAAGAATAGAATAGATATGTTTTTCTGCTTTCCAATAGGTGCAGTCTCTAATATAAGTTCAACAGGTATAAACTATAACTTATGATAGATTCTACACCAAGTTGTTTGCAAAATATTAAGATACCTTCCTGTTACAAGGGATTGTGGGAATTGGGGTAAGAAGGAAAGGAAGTCTTCTGCCCCTTGTCTGTACTAGCTATGCTGAGATGAAAGGGAGTTAACCATGGTAAATTATCCATAACTTTCTCTGAGACTTATTTATTTGTCTGGAGTTTATGAAAACTGCCTTTGAAAACACATCTAAAGGGAGATAGCGAGTTCACTTAAAATCATAATTCTGCTCATACAACTGACATACCCCTTTGAAAAATCTTGGGAATATACTGTTGACTTTAAACTGACCTTTCCAAGTTTGTCTGCTGCCTCATAGGACCCAAACATGTGAACTGCAGAGTTGATTTGAAGCTGTTTTAATTCTGAAAAGAGAAAAAAACTTCCTATCTAACAAAAGATATGTCAAACAAGTATCCTAATGCCATGACTAGAAAGGACTGAAATAACAAATTGATGTATACTGGGCTTTACAGTTATGTGTAATTGCTGTGTCCAATGAAAAATAAAGTTTATGTTTCCAAGTTGGGTGGGCTACTTTTCTTTTTCCATATTAAAAAATTATTTGAAGCGTGTTTATTTGTCAAGGTATCATTGTTGTCATTGTTCTATTGCTTTGGTTCAACTTCAAGTGTGTCAGTTTTTTTCATAATGTCTCTTCATCACAAGTGGATTGAGTATAACCTGAACCTGATGAGTCAGAATAGAAAGATTTGTGGAATCCACAGGATTTACAAAGTATTTTCGAAAAGACACAGTTTTTGAAGAACAGTTTGATGTATAACTTGAATTTTTGTCCCATAAAGAAATAGATGATTGGATTCAAACAGCAGTGAAAATATGTTAGGATTTGAGTCACCTGTTCTGCATAGTCCAGGTTTTTGTTGATTTCACATTCTCCAAGAATACCTACATCATCCAAACATTTTAGAAAAAGTATAACATTGTAAGGTGTCCAACACATAAAAAACATGACCACCACAACGAAGATCATCTTCACTGCCTTCTTTTTTTTGTTATTTCTGCAGTGCAGCAAGGTCAGAATTATTCTTGCATAACAAAAGGAAATGACGATAGAGGGCACAATGAGGCCTAATATGTTGATTTCTATACAAGTAAAGAGTTTCCATGCTGTGCTATTCTTAAAGTACACTAATTTGCATTCAGTACGATTATAGTCATTTACTGATGAGCTAAATATGAGTTCTGGAACAGAAACATTGATGGCCACTAGCCATATAATAAGACTAGTGAGAATGCCATAGGTGGCAGTTCTTGCTTTCAGTGAAAATGCAACATGAACAATAGCAAGATACCTATCAATACTCATGAACATGATAAAAAAGATTCCACTGAAAAATCCAATCTGGAAGATCCAAGAGCTTACTTTACACAAAGTATCTCCAAATATCCATCTATCAGCCATGAAGTAAGACCAAAAAGGAAGACCAAGAACAAAAAGCAAATCAGATATGGCAAGATTGAGTACATAAATATCTGTCATGCTTCTCAGCCTCTTGTATTTCAATAATACCAAGACAACCAAAGTATTGCCGGTCAAACCAAGCAAGAAGACCAGTGAATAAAGAGTGGGAAGGAACAATGATCCAAACCCCCTTACTCCATCTTTGATGCATGGTTCATATTCATAACCATACTCATCGGTGGTTAAAGAGTATTCTATGGTGATGCTGGCTGATTCACTGGTAGACATCATTTTCTTTTGGAAACCTAAATGAAAGGATTAAGGAGTGAATAGAGGAAATAATAGCTTTCTATTCAGAGGAACTAAGGTTGCTATCCTACGCATGCTTACTCTGGAAGGCCCACTAAATTTGGTGGTATTGCTTCAGAATAATCATACATAAGACTAGACTGCCAGTATTATAATTTCAAAAAAAAAAAAAAAGGATTTGGAAGATATGAATTTCAGAACCAAAACAGAAACTTCATACTGAACAACATAATTACTAGTGCCACCAAAAATTCTATTACAAGTATTACTCATTTTAATCAATCAATCAATCAAATGCCAGGACATTTATTCCTTCAGCACTGATAAAGAATAACAATTGCAGTTCAATTTTATTTTTATTGATTCTGCGTGCCCCTTTCATCTCACTGTTCCCCTTACTTTCCCTTTTCTTTTCATTGCTTATATATCAATGTTGTTTTGCATTATTATAAATCTTACTCATAGGGATACTCTTCACTCTTCACTAAAATTTGGAGAAAAATCCATTAAACATGATGATATTTAATGGACACCAACTCACTTGGACGACACCAGGTTAGGAAAGACTACATTAAATTATGTATCTCTTATACAGCACCAGAAATCATATTGATAATTCTTACAGAGGAAAAAATAACGAGAACTAATCCAACTCTTTGTAATCAGTGGATTTATTTCTAAGAGGTATAGTATCACTTCATAAACAAAAGCTTTATATCAACACTAAAAATTGTCTAGTTTTTTCATCTTACCTACAGAAGCTCAGTTTGGGTTGGTGAAATAGGTGGTTGAGAGTCCTTGGATGGATTGGTTGGAGATTCCTGTCACTACCAACTATCTATCACCTGTGTTAAGAGCCTCCCTGCAATTAATTGTAGCAACAATTGTAATCACAGTGCAAGAAGATCTTATCTCAAAGAAATGAATATATATGTTTAATTGATTTGCATATGCCTGACCACTTTAGTCTTTTATGAAATTAAAATTTCACATATAATTCATTGTTTTCAATCCCATATATTTTATAGCTCTAGTAGTTGAGCTTAAGTAGATTTTCTTTTGGATAAGCATAGATATGATTAGTTTGTGTATGTTGTAGCACTGTAAAATAAACATCAATTTGGGATGTTTGTCCCAGTCCCAAAATATTTCTTAAATGATGCACAATTAGTACTTAGTAAGTTTAATTCAGCTCACAAAGCTTTCCATAGACAGTTATAGATTTGTGCTATAAGTCTCTTCATTTTTTGCAAAACAATATGAAAGGTTTTTATTGTTCTTTCTCCCTCCCTCCCTCATCTATTTATCTTATTTTATCTTATCTTCTAATCTAATCTATTTTAAATTATCATATTTAGTGATTTACAGGAATTAAGTAATTTTTCCATTTTTCAAATCATTAAACACAATAAATAAGAGATTCATTGTTTTAAAAAATGTTTAGTAGAGTTGGGCACAAGTTATGTTTCACATTTTTTATTTTTTGTTCTTGGTAAAGAGTAAAAAAAACAACAACAAATTATGTGAATTTCTCTAGAAAGAAGAGAAATTCTCCAACAATGCCCTAAGGACAGGATTTCATTAGTATCACAGTGGAAGAACAGTCTTCAAGAGGAGATTTTATTTTGGGAATGTATTGGGAATATAACATAATCATGAACATGAGAACCCAGATCACCATACAAATATCCAATGCTAATTTATAAATACTATTCAATGACTATGTAACTAAGTAAATGCTAGAATATCATATATCCTCCACTGTAAATTCTTCAAAAGCCTCTTGAAAATTAAATTCTGTAATTAAAAATGTAATTTAAAAAATACAAACAATTTTCTGTGCCTGATGCTACACCTAATACATATATTTACCTGTTCACGAAGATAAGAAGTGTCTTGCATAAAGGTGATGTACCATCTGCCTAAGGAAGTGGTTTAAATCAAGTGAGATAGACTGCACAAAAGTTAACTGAAAATAAAAAAATCATTGAAGTACACATTACCTTTCTCTAGATGAATGGCAAAGCCTCACTAACGCCCTCTTGTGAATAATATCATGCTAATACTACACTTTTATATTTTTCTATAGTAGAAACATCATCTAGCTCTTAAGAAAATTACATTCTATTTATTTCAAAAAGTTTAATAGTTGTATGCATCATTGCCTTTTATTTTTCAAGTCCCTCTTCAGAGCCTGTCACATCTCTTCCACAATCAAAGATACTGTCAAGGCAGCCTCCCTCAGTAACCAAGAAAGAAACCACTCAACTCCATTTTGCAGAATTAAGAGTACTTTTACTGGTCATGAGTAGATAGCAGCTAAGCAAAGCAAGATCAGAGGCAAAAGCGCATGTAATCATAGATATCAATATGTGATCCAACTCCCTCCCCCTGGTAACCCCATCCCATAGTCCAATCTGCACACCCCTCAGGAGTCATGTGGGAGACATCTTCAAAAAGCATCATCAGGTTGGTATGCCAGACAGTTGGCCTTGGCGGCAAATCCACTATCTGCAGCATGTGCAGTAGATGATAACAACTCCCTTTTTACAATCACTCCTGTACTGAATACTTCCCCACCCAAATACCATGCCCCCCTCCCCATTTCAATGGCAGCCGAAAGCAAGTAGTGAAGCAGAGGCTGACATCAAGCCCTCCGTCAGGAAAGGAAGTCATCCCTGCAGGAAAAACAAACACACAAAAAGAAAAACAGGAACAAGACAATTTAGAAATGTATAAGTCAATTTGGGTCAGGGCTTATTGGGGTAGGCAGAGTAGAATTTACGCAAAAGTCTAGGACCCCTAACATGGGACTTATCGACCCATTCAGCTTGGGAGGGGGAAAATATTTCCAGGAGACTAGATATTGAATCCGATTTCTATGTTTCCTGGAGTCCAAAATTTCCTTAATCTCAAAATATTGCTCTCCTTCAATGAGAAGAGGGGCAGGTGGGGTAGGTAGGGGTGCCCGGAAAGAGGAAGTGTGTTCCGGTTTCAAAAGGTTTACATGAAACACCAGGTAAATACGGTTAAGATGCTTTGGTAGTTCCAATCGCACAGAAACAGGATTAATGATCTTCACAATAGGAAACGGACCCACGTATTTAGGCCCCAGTTTCTTTGACTTTTGGGTGGTTGGAGAAACTTGGTAGACAAAAACACTTGATCTCCAATTTTGTACTCCCTCTGTTTCACCTCTTCTTGTCGGCCTGTTTCTTGTGTGCCCGATGAGCAGCTTCCAATGTTTTGCGGGTCATGGGCCAGATTTGTTGGAGTTGGTCACTCCATTCGGAGAGCGACAAAACTTGTGGTTTTTCTCAGGGTAATCTGGAATAGGTACAAAATCCTGGCCAAACACTATTCAAAAAGAGGTGAAACTGGTGCTGCTGCGTACAGAGTTGTTGTAGGCCACTTCAGCATGTGGTAACAACTCAGCCCAATTATCCTGCTGATAATTAATAAAACACTGAAAATACTGTTCCAAAACAGAATTAATCTGTTCACAAGCCCCGTTAGTCTGAGGATGGTGGGCGGAGCTTAGCCCCTGGATGGAGCCAATCAACTTCAAAAACTCCTTCCAGAAGAGGGAGGTGAACTGGACCCCCCTATCCAAAATTACGCATTCTGGTATGCCACGTAGACGGTGTACATGTGTAATAAACAATTTAGCCAATGATTTAGCTGACGGGATCTTTGAACAAGGCACAAAGTGAACTTGTTTAGAAAACAGGTCTGTGATGACCCAAATCACGGTATTTCCTTGACTTTCTGGTAATTCGACAATGAAGTCCATTGATATCTCCTTCCACAGGGCTTCAGGATGAGCCACACCTTGGAGCAGGCCCTGGAGTTTTCCTGGTGGGTGCTTTGTGTCAGCACATATGGGGCAACTGGCCACATAGGATGTTTAGCTCCCTCAAGGAAATGTCGCCAGGTCATCAAAGCCCACCTGACAGCAAAAGCCTCCTTTTCCCATATAGCCCATCGTCTCTCTGTCTCTGTTAGTTTTCGAGAGGTATAAGTGCAAGACTGCAGGTTCCCATCAGTGTTCGTTTGCAGTAACACTGCTCCCACTGTCACATCACTAGCGTCAGCTTGGATGATAAATGGTGAATCTATGTCTGGGTGTTTTAAAACAGGTTCAGCTGCAAAGAGTCACTTCAGTTTTTCGAACGCGGCTTGACATTACATAGTCCAGTTCAATGGCTTCCCTGGTCTGGGTTTGGCCTCCCCTTTTGACTTTAGGAGATATAATTGGCAGAGCAATGCTGGCGAACAAGGGAATAAATTGACGATAAAAATTTGCAAATCCCAAAAAACTTTGTAATTGTTTGCGGGTGCGGGGAGGCGCCTATTCAGTGACAGCCTGGACCTTTGCTGGGTCCATCTCGATGCCATTGTAGAAGATGCGATAACCAAGGTAATCAATTTTTTCCTGATGAAATTCACATTTAGATAGTTTGGCATATAGTTCCGCAGCCCGGAGTTTCTTGAGTACTGAACACACCAATTTCACATGTTCTTCATGTGTTTCCGTGTAAATAAGGATGTCATCAAGATAGACCATCATGCCCTTGTACAGGTGATCATGCAAACTTCATTTATTAGTTGCATGAAAACTGCTGGTGCCCCCTGTAGGCCAAATGGGAGTACTCGGAATTGGAAGCAACCAAGTGGGCAGTTGAAAGCAGTTTTCCATTAATTTCCCTCTTTAATTCTGACTCTGTAATAGGCTTCTCTTAGGTCAGATTTCGTGAAAATCTTTCCTTTACCCAATATGGCCAACATAGCCTTCATCGGAGAGAGGGGGTATACATTCTGTATACACACAGCATTAAGGTTTTTGCAATTAACACAGAGATGAAAGGAGCCATCTTTCTTTTCTCTAAACAACACTGGAGCAGCCACTCGGGGTCTAGCAGGTTCAATAAACCCCTTTGCAAATTTTTGTCAATAAACTTCCATAATTCATTCATTTC